GGGCCAGATTGAATTACCCAATGGGCCAGATTTGGCCCGCGGCCATGGTTGTGTCATGCCGGGTTCATAGCGTACAGAATTCAAAATGGGAGGTTTTGTCAAAAGAACTGGGTACGTTCACTCACCTAATCACCCCACCCTTCACCTAATAAATTTTGCCATAAACTCGTAAATATTGTTATTAAAAAAAAATTAGTCAAATTAAAATAGATAAGCCAGTAAATGAAAAAAAAAAAAAGCCATGCGTCATGGATAGTATGCTGAGTCATAATGTGATGTATTATTAAAAATAGTAAATTTGCAAATCATTTAACCCAGTTTAAAATAGTTTAGAATTAATTGAATAAAATTTGAGAGCCCGAAAAATGAAAGAGTAATATGATCTGCGAGGGGATTCCAACGCATAACTGAAGAATAAAAATCTATGCATATCTTATTTATGAAAAGGGTGTCTTGTACAGTGGTTGCCAACACATTTATGCAAAGGAAAAACTATTCCCGCAAAAATGGACACTTACACATTAAATTACCACTCGGTAGCAGAAATCAGAGACATTCAAGATTAACTATAGTGACACCAATAAAACTAGCATTTATAGGTCTGTGGCTCACTTCAAAATGTTTCCGTGTCCCAGAGCTGGTTGAAAATCGGTAGAGTGGTTTACATGAGAAAAAATCACCACTGGGTCAGAAAAAATGATTAAGTTGGGATAATTCTACAGGGTGATCCAGAATAATAAAGACCCATAAATTACTTAATTACCCCTACGAAAGTTTAAAAAAATTCCAACACTTGAATTTATGTTTGACTAAAGCAGGGCTCGGCAAAATGCGGCCCGCGGGCCGAATGCGCGCCCGAGCTAGTTTGTTGCGGCCCTCGAACGAACCGACATTTATTACAATTGATTTTAAATTAATTTTTGCCACTACACGGATTTATGTGGTAACAAGTACTGCTGTACGGCGCTTGTTTTGTAATAAGTAGCGTCATTTGTATGTCGTTCGAGTTAATTTTTAATATTTAAAATGTCTGGAAAACGGAAAAAAGTTCACGACGAGAGTCGAACATTCCAAAGTGTTTAGACGGAAAAATATTTTTCTAAAAAATGTCATATATACATCTCATTGTGGCAGGCTTTTAACGCCGCAATAGCACGTGCGAATGCGCCATAATGTGAAGTTTAATATGTCGATTGTTCGAAGGCGGAAATATTGCGCCCGCGCGCTACCAGAAATGTGTATATTTGGCCCGCAGGTACATAAAGTTTGCCGACCACTGGACTAAAGTTATACTCAGTATAGAACAGAGTTCAGATTTTCTTTTGATCGCTCTGCAAATTGATATTAAATACAAATTGCCATAAACATAAAAATAATAAAAAGTAATGTCATCAGCCAATTCTGTCATTAATTTAATTTTAAACCGAAACTTTTGAAAGCGGTCACCCCACGAAAAATTAAATTTTCACGGATAATTTATGATTCGCAGATAGCGCCTCTGCGTGCATCGCCTGGCCTAATATTGTAAATGCCCTGGTACTGAGATGGGGCTTTATCGACATCCATGACAATTTTTGTGCCCGTTCGATCACCTAAATTTTTCTCAAAGCGTTGCCACATTGAATCTGGTAGGGACGGTGCTGGCTCGCCGGATCTCAGCAGAAGTGTTCCGTTCTGTTAAAATTAACATTTTAACATTAATAAAAAAACGGACACATTTACGGGTTGATTGCTAGAAAAGCAGAAAATTTGGAGGTCATGCGGGATCACGAATAAAATGAAAGCTTACTCATGTCTTTTCTGGTACGTTTTTTTTTTTTTTTAGGTTCTAGGTTGTTTTAGGTTGATTTGTAAAAGTTAATCTTTAAAATTTTAGTAGCTGTTTGAAAAATTTTCTATTTTCTAGCGACCACCGTGTATAAAAAAACAGTTAATTTTTTGACTCAATGCACCCGAAAGTAAACATACACTTGTTCCACGACACGTGGGAAAATGGGACACGTGAAATAATTTGGAACACATGGAACAAGTTAGACACGTGGGACACGGCCTTCTTGAGACACTCGTCCATTTCGTGGCCAATAACAGAAATCATAGACGTACCTCATAGGTCATGCCAGTCCACACAATCACTTGCCCCCAGCCCGGATTTATTCTTGTGCGCAAGTGGTTTTGCAGCTCAGTGTACAGTGCAGTAGAATTAATATCAGCCAGTTTGTTTTGACAAAGAGATTGAGCTTGGTCCAGCGTGATGGCGTCTAACGAATTGTCGTAAACATACGCTGTGAAGCATCTTGACTCGTAAACAACGTTGCATACTTCTGTGAAAGTTAAATTAGTAGATTCAAAAAATACAATTTGTCTAAGTGAGCGCGCCGCTATTCCTGTAGTATGCGAACCAAGATGGCGGACACCGGCATGTAGTATGTGTACCAGGTTAGGGTTAGACCATAATTTTATTCCAATTTTCTCTATTTTAGTTCTAATACGAGTTCGGGGACTAGCCAAGTGACTCTCTTTGTATTTGTACAAAAAATTATAACCTAAACCTAACGTGGTACATATACTACGTTACGGTGTCCGCCATCTTGGTTCGCATATACTACAGGAGTGCAGGCGGGGCGAACAAGCGGTTAGACTTAGCTATGTGAATTTTACAGCTTGATTCCAAACCCCATGCCATCATCTTACCCGGGGTGTAATAAATTCGGTTGACAATGCCAAATCGTAAACATTCCTGTCCTATACAAATGGTAGCTTCTCGCATATCAATTTAAGCAAGGAGTGTTGTATAAATCGCAATGACAAACTGAGCAATAATATGCCAGATGTATTTATTGTTTTCTTTTATTTAGTCAATAAATAGAATTGAATTTAGAAGATTCTAGGCTTTGATGAATGAGGTGGTGGCTCGCGACCCCTCAAAGTCGAGTCAATAGCTCGATCCTCACCAACCGTCAAAAGGACCCCCCACAATGTAATAAAATTACTTAAGCATCAGCTACGGCCTTCAAAGCCTTTTTGAACGCATTCCATTATAAAAGTCTGAAAAAGTGATAAAGCCCATGGATTTAAAACAATTAACTGGCTAACTATTCCCATACTTTGATAATCGAGCGACAGGCGTTGATTTGCCATATAATTCAGCCTTCTTTTCGGCTTTCTTCTCCCCTGCATAACTAACGAAAGCTAATCATATCCTAAGTAATAGGGTGTAAGAAGTTTCCGGACAGAGAGCCCCATAATGATTGTCATGATCAAGATCATGAAAAGCAAAACACAAAATCAGAAAAAATAACTTTTTTTCCTACTTGGTGTGGTTGTGATATCCTGAGTAGTGTCACCAGCCGAGGTCGGTGTGGTGGAATACACTTTTACTGCAGTAGTTGTGCCATCCCCTCCTTCATAAAAATGAAAGGTATAATTAAATAAAATATCGTTTATTAGACACGAAGCGGAGCGGCGCGATGGCATAGCGTAGGAGTGTGCAGCCTGCCGACCGCGGGCCAAAAAAATTGTGCGCCCGCAGAGACGTGTAAATTTTGAACTATGTGCGGCTCGCAGAACAAGTTTTTAATTTAGTTTAATGTGGTACGTTCGTGTAATCTCAATCCCTTTGCGTTGCAAAGCATATTATACAAGAGTTCAATTTTTATGACGTTACAATGCCCTAACAGTTAGCTTGTGCGAAGCGTACAACTCATGTCATGATACCAATAACCAAAATTTTTGTGCCCACAATAACTTGAGGCCAATGTTAAATAAAGTTGCGACCCTCGGTTTTACATAGTTATTCGAATGTTGCCATCTTGTATTAAAGAATGTACAAGCCTGGCTTAGCGGATGAAGCGTTTGACTTGACTGTTTTGGAATCATAGGTACAACATCTCGGATTCAAAATCCACGTCTACCATTTTACCCGGGTGGGTGGACAATGTCAAACTGCAAAGATTACAGTTTTTCCAAATTATAGAAGTTTGTAGCGATAGTAGGCTTCCTTACTGCACGAAGTACACGTGACCGTTCTCCCGTAGTATGTGTACCAGGTTAGGGTTAAGCCCTAATTTTTTTCGATTTTCGTTCTATTACGAGTTCGGGGACTGTCTGTGTTAACCAAGTGAATATACCCCTTGCCAATAGGTTTCGATCCCTTTACACAACTTGATGTAAAATAGTCGAACAAAATTAGTTACCTCCATATTGGTACACACATTTCTGGAGCGACACGTGGTCGTATTTGTACTTGTTATCAATGAAACCCGATTCGACTCAAGACTTGGACAACCCTTGACTCGCTACGCATCAGCATTCCTAAACTACGAGTGACGAATTAGATCGACGAAGTTATCTGAGCCTCGAGTCTAATCTAAAATTGAGTCATTTCTTAAAATGACTCAAGTTATCTCGACCCTCTGATAAATGGTAAATGATAAAAGTTGAGTCTCTGATAAATAGTAAATGATAAAAGTCAGGCCACTGATAAATGGTAAATGATAAAAGTCACGTTTCTGATAAATAGTAAATGTTAAAAGTGAGGTCACTGATAAATGGTAAATGATAAAAGTCGAGTCTCTGATAAATAGTAAGTGATAACAGTTGAGTCCCATATAAATGGTAAACGATAAGGGCCGAAGCTCTGATAAATGGTAAGTGATAAAAGTTGAGTCTCTGAGAAATAGTAAACGATAAAAGTCGAAGCTATGATAAATGGTGAATGCTGAAAGTAAGGAGGGGTTATTCCAAGTCTTAAGTACAATCTGAAGTCGTGTGAATCACTGAGATAAGGATAAAGGGTAATTCAAGCCTCAAGTTGATTCCTGTGAAATTTTCAAAAGACGATGTGCTGCAACCATCGCGGAAAGTGGTATGGACTTCACACTAATGTTCTTAAATAAATGAAACAAATACTTTTGGTGATATCCTTTACAATACAATTTGAAAATTGTTAGTCAATATATTACAACTGTGTTTGGTGTCTGATTCCTGGTAGTTGAGGTTAATTGTTTCACGACTCGGTGGTATTTAACAGGAAAAAGGTTGAGAATCCCTGGCTTAGAGAAACGTACCTGTACTTATTTCAAGATCCTGATTCATAGTGGTCGCTTGAATAGCTGCCGGAACTGTGCTGACATCTAGCGATTGTTGCAACTTGTTTTCTAGCTGAGTTAATACGACTGACAAGTTCATTACTCGATCTGTAATATATAAAATAAGAGCAAATTTGTGATATACTGGGATTTTACGCTACAATACTCCTAACTTACTATTGTGAACATAATCTCTGAAATAAAAAAGCAACGCTCAAGTATATATGGTCCTAAACGAATCATCATAGGGTGTCCATAAACTCCTAATAAAATTCAAAACTGCGACGGGAATTTATCGATACCATATAATATTGTTTACCATCCTCACAGATGTATTTCATGAAGTAAATATGATTACTGATTAAAAAACAACAAACTTGGTTAAGATATATTGAGAACTTACTTCAGAACAAAAATGAAATTGTAAAGGAACTTTATGGACACCCTGTATTATCTAAATCTAATCTTTCACAGTGCCGGTATTTTGATGACGTCATGCCACAAAATTTCCAAATAAAAAACAAATCCATTAGAGCGTAAATAAAAATAAAAGCATTCCAGCGACAACAATCTTTACCCACTGAAAATTGATTCAGTAGTTGGAAAAAGCGTTTCTTAAAATTTTAAAACTTCAAAAAAGACTACTAACAACAACATAATAACAAAACGACCCATATGTCTACATGGTGCCCAATAATCGATTATACATTAAAAATTGCACAATTACTATAATTTAACAGTTAAAAATTTGTCACTTATCATTGTAAACCATTGGCATAGTCAAATTGTAAATTAAAAGATTCAAAATGACTGTGGTTTTCCGTATATTGTCATATTGTTTAAATGCGATCAGAGTTATGTACGATAAAGTCGAATTTTTAGTGCGATCAGAATTATGCGCGTTTTTTAGTTTTAAACTTGAAATATATGCGTGGACACACAGTACTCTCAATTTACTATTGAAAAAACGAGTGTCGTTTGATTTAGCTGAATTATACAGTATTTATAACTCTATTTTGAGAATTTGGTTTTAAAATATTCATAAGGACAAACCTTCCAATGACTTGATCTTCATTTCTTCTGCTTCATCCTAAAATAAAAAAAATAAAATGATATAAATAAAAAAATAGTATTTCTCTTATGTAAAACGTTGCACCCAAATCTATCTCGCCAAAAGGTTTCCACCCGTTTTTGAATATTGATCTAAAATTTGTATTCCCCTTGGAGCGCTGTATATCTACAATAGCATGTCAGAATATTGTCCCTTTATTGGAGGGGCGTACCCAGAAGCGATGGTTTTCCTGGACGGTACCCCCCCCCCCCCCACCCTCTTCTTTGGAATAGAACATGAAAAGCATTTGAAAATGTTAGAATTTCAACCAATGATAATATCAGTGGTGCAGCCATGGGGGTGGTTTTGCGGGTCGACCCCACCCCCCTCTTTTTGAAATGTAAAAAAAATAAAATCAGTTTTCTGTATCATAATTAGCAATTATCCGCAGCTTGAAATGCTTTTCAGGTGCTCCCGAGGTATGCGAACCAAGATGGCGGACATCGGAACGTAACATGGGTAACAGGTGAGGGTTAGGCGAAAATTTCTTTCCAATTTTCCTTATTTTAGTCATATTATCAGTTTGAAGACTAGCCAAGAGCCTCCCGTAGTATTTATAACTAAAATTATGGCCTACCCCTAACCTAGTACACATATTACATTCCGATGTTCGCCATCTTGGTTCGCATACTTGGGGAGCCCCGCTTTTTAGACCCCCCAAGACTACTAAAAACACGCGTATTCCAGCGTTCGATCGGACCTGCTAGCAGTTTCGATCTAACTTGGCAAAAAAAAAACTCAGAATTTCAGAACCCCCCGTTTGAAAATTTCTGGCTATGTCCCTGGATAATATGATGTCCATACTAAGAGAAAAGATAATTTAATTTAAAAAAATAATTTAATAATAAATAAACGGTGCTCCCGAAGTATGCGAACCAAGATGGCGGACATCGGAAAGTAACATGGGTAACAGGTTGGGGTTAGGCGATAATTTTATTCCAATTTTCCTTATTTTAGTCCTATTATCATTTCGAAGACTAGCCAAGAGCCTCCCGTAGTATTTATACCTAAAATTATGGCCTAACCCTAACCTAGTACACATATTACATTCCGATGTCCGTCATCTTGGTTCGCATACTTCGGGAGCCCCAAATAAACACTTGCGCTTTTGTTGGAGAAATAAAAAATAATAAATTCAGTTGATGAAAATGGAGTTATTTTTTGTTTTAAATTTTTTGAAATAATTTTGGAAAACACTATAGAGAATTTCGACGTCATCATAATGATGTAAATAAAGTTTCTTGTATTTCTTCCTACTGTTAAATTTTTGAAACTATCATTTCCGGCGAATAAAATCAATGAATATTAACCTGCTCGCAAGTCGGAACTTTTCTCCACATCATTTGATTTCCACACGTCATCCCCACCATACAATCTTCACCTGTCAATAGAAAATATATAAATAAATTGGTACCACCGAAGGAGTATGTGGAAAAAGATGGCAGACACCGGAACGTAGTATGTGTACCAGGTTAGGGTTAGGCCATAATTTCAGGTACAAATACTACGTGAGTCACTCGGCTAGTCCCCGAACTCTTAATAGAACTAAAATAAAACAATTGGAATGAAATCATTATACTATGTTCAGGTGTCCGCCATCTTGGTTCACATACTACGGAAGCGCCCAAATAACTACTTTATAATTACTTAATAATACTTATTCATGAACAAATAATAAACTACTTATGTAAACTGTACAGAAACTGGAATGGAATTATCGCAATACACTAGCTAAGGTTTCATTAAAAATTGAACAAATGAGGTAGATTTAGTTTGCACTACAGCAAATATTTATTACGCAAAAAACAAATAAATTTTGCGATTGTATTTAATAGCGCGCAACTGTACCTATATCCTCATTGCGTGCTACCATGACGTAATAATCATTTAAAACAGGTATAATTTTATATTTCAATTTAAATGTATTCAAAATCTACTTAATTCTCGTTTAACGATGCAATAAAATCTATTTTTATGCGAAATATTCGGATCTAATATTTCGAATAAAATAAATAATTGCACTGATATTAATGCTATTATGACGTACGTTTGAAATATGCTAATTGCAATTTCGTGCTGTTAATACATTTATATCATGCTTCGAAGTTCAGCACGAAATTAGAATGGCATAAAAGTTTATAGTGAAAGTACTGCTGGGCATTTCAAATCGAAAAGAAAATTATTTGAATCGGTTCAGACAATAATTTCGGATCGCCGCCATCTTGTATCGAGGTAAATTCCGAATTCTTTTTGTGAAGCCATATTTTTAAAATAAAATTCTGATATATGACTCTTATCTTCCCAGTGAATTATTGATGAAACATGGTTATTATTGTGTCGGACATCTCAAGGAATTGCATGAGGGATAGATTCGATTTTTTCTGTAATTTATGTGCCTGGAGGACCCATCACAATGAAAAGTCACATATAATTCGACATCTTCCAAGTATTCGAGATTCGATTGGAAAAATATATTCGATTCGATTCTGATATTACCAGGTATTCGAAAATGCTCAGTTCTAAGTGAAAAGCGCGAGTAAGCGTTCTACAAAAATAAGCATAGCACACTATATTTTGAGCATATTAATAAATAATGAAGCGATGGACTAAAAAAAGTTTTAAAAGATCAGGTCAAAAAAGCCGAACAGTTCTCCTAAATATGAAAGCAGCTCTTTATTTTTCAATTTTTTCTTTGGTAGGTACTTTTTGAAAGAACGGGCGTGTAAAAATTCTAAAAAATTTATATTTTCACTACGTGTTGAATAATAAAATCAATCCCCTGTCTCCATTTCAAATTCTTTTTATAAAAATTGTTTTCAAAATTCCGTAACACGTTGTCAGATATAAAAATAAAATACCGCAATTAATACTTTTTCCATGATTAGGCATAATACATAATACAAATTATTGTAACCCGCCGTGTGTCAATGTTGCAGCGACGTTAAAAAATGTACATGTCGTTGGCCAATAATATATGTCGCATTGTACAGGATATCCATAAAATCCCTTTACAATTTCAATTTTGTTATGAAGTCGGTTTTCAATATATCTTAATCAGGTTTGTTGTTTTTTAATCAGAAGTTGTCCATACATCTGTGAGGGCCAGAACAACATATGGTATCGATAAATTTCCTTTGCAATTTTAAATTTTTTTTAAGACTTTATGGGGTGCTCCCGAAGTATGCGAACCAAAGTGGCGGACATCGGAACGTAACATGGGTAACAGGTTAGGGTTAGGCGATAATTTTTTTCCAATTTTCCTTATTTTAGTCCTATTATCAGTTCGAAGACTAGCCAAGAGCCTCCCGCAGTATTTATACTTAAAATTATGGCCTAACCCTAACCTAGTACACATATTACATTCCGATGTCCGCCATCTTGGTTCGCATACTTCGGGAGCCCCTTTATGGACACCCTATATATCAATTGGGCTTAAAAAAAATTTAATTACTCACTCACGTTAACATGTGGAAATATTTACAACTCGCACGTGCAAAAAATTATAAAAAGTATTGTCAAAATTGCTCTAAGAACGTAATATATAGAAACTATGCAATTCAAGATTCAATGTATTTATGTTATTGTCATAAACTGCTTGTCTGAGGAAGTCTGATTTTGATCAAACAAAACGTTACAGAAATACATTTGTGCAGCAAGACTCTTAAATCGCATAGTATTTCTGCTACAGCATCCTTACATTATCTGCATACGGACTATTGAGCATTGAGAAAGAATTGGGAGTTAGTCTCGCGCAACCTCTACTGATAAATATATAGAAAGTTGTTTTTAAAAATATATTTTGTCAATAATTTAATTATTATGCTATAAATTTTGGAACTCCCAAAGTGTGTGCACCAGGTTAGAGGTAGGCCATAATTTTATCCCAATTTTCCTTATTATAGTTCGGGGACTGTCTGTGTTAGCAAAGTGAATTTACCCCTGCCCATAGTGTTCAGTCCCTTTACACAACTTGACGTAAAGTAGGCGAACAGAATTAGTTACCTCCATATGGGTACATACACTTCTGGAGAACCTACATTTTAATTGAGTTATGCTGACACTTATTATTTGAAAATATTCACACATCCCAGGATTTCACTTCAATTACACTTAGGAGTATTATTTGAAAAAACCAACATATCCCACGCGGAAAAAACATTAAACTAGGTTTCAAATTCAAACTTACCTTTCAGTAAAGACACCGCCTCGAATACCAGAAGTATCACAATGAATGCGATTTTGTAAAAAATCTTCATTTTCGCGATGATCGTAAAAATACGTTCTTCGAAGTCTTCAAATCAAATTTATATTGACGAGAAACTGGCTGTCAGTTTGTAGACGGGTTTCAATACAATGAAATGGCACCTGGTTGGCATCATGTATTATATCCAACGCAACACTCTATTTCCAGCTCTCTCTCTCTATCTTTCTATATCTTTTATTATTGTGTGTCATAACTGAAACACCACTTTTTACGTACACGTTATCTTTTTCTATCTTTAATTAAACTCATTTTTACTTCCTCAAACTGAATCATTAGGCCAAACACATTTATAGTAACAACCAGCCTCTTTTTGTATTATATTTTAGAGCGCGGTTTGCCATTTTAAATTGAAAGCTATCCAAAGCCCACAGGACATATCTGGCCCGCTGGGTATTTCAATCTGACCTGACTGATGTTGCCACAATCAAGATAAAGTCAGTTTTTGATGTTTTAGCTGAATAATTACAAAAGAAATTTGTTAAGATTGCGATTAAATTTAGTTTTGTTTTCCGCATTTGCTTTAGTAACACTGTAGGTAATGTTCATAAAATGTTACTTTTACGTCACACTTACATGGCCCGCCAGTCCAGGTAGCACAGTTTTTGGCCCCTGGTCCTGCCCATCCCTGCTATAAAACATACTTCACAATTTTTTGATGTATCATATGCAAATGTGCATATACTTTAATATTGATTTGGCTAATTCAGAATATATATTTTATTTATTATTTTAGTTTTAACATACGGTTTATTTATTTACCATGTAGATCCATTTTGATAAATTAGATGAATTAAGCTACCGGAATCCCGAAGGAAAGAGTTCTTTTTTAGTTGAGAAACGCGGCAATACGTCATTTTTCCAATTAAAATACAAAGCGCCTTCATAATGGTTTTCATCCTTAATTTTCGAAAGTTATTTGATCGAAGTTACGGTGCGTCTTTATCCCGTATTGAATTAATTCCAGAAAAATGTGGCGCCAATTGTTTCTGTCGATCGATTTCACAAACAAGATAGGTAACTCAATGCTTCTCTAATCAATTTTCCTGTAATGTGTGTACGAGGTTAGGGTTAGGCGATAATTTTATTCCGATTCTCATTATTTTAGTTCTATTACGAGTTTGGAGACTGTCTGTGTTAGCCAAGTTAAGGTTTCAGTCTCTTTACACAACTTGATGTAAAGTAGGCGAACAAAATTAGTTACCTCTATATTGATACACACACTTCTGAAGCGCCTCCTTTTGCTCTTATGCTCCTTCCTGTGAATAGATATTGTTTTATCACAAGTAAACATAACAATTCGTGCAAACGTGAGTTCAATCTATTACCAGATGGTATCAAATGTCACCGCCCTATTTCCGTCGCATTGTCCGCATATCATACAGCGGGATGTTTATTACTGTTGAATGGAAATTGTGTGGAAATAGCCAGGTCTGTAGGTTCAAAATAAATATACAATCGTCTACAAATCCGCATTGGAAATAGATTGACCTCGGCTTCAGATTGAAAAAAAAAAATTGAAAATAATCATCTAATTTAATTTTTATTTTGAGTTTTTATCGAAAATTTGGCTTCGATTATTACATTTAAAAAGTTGAAATTTAATGAAATTCAAAATTTTGACTTGAAAGTTTTGAATTTAGCATAATCTAGTACGTGAGAGTAATTCCAATTCTTTTATTAGCCAATCCCAAAGTTTGTGCATGTCACAAGATCAATAACCAATATTTTTTCTGCCTGCAACTACTATAAAGCCTATTTTAAATAAATGTGCGACCCACGGTTTCACCCATTTTTTTTTGCATCTGGCTCTCATGTATTAAAGGATGCACAACCCTGGTTTAGGTCATAGTGAACTTACCGAATTAAATTTCATCAGTACATTTCCGTCGCATTGTCAGCGTATGCTACAACGGGATGTTTATTACTGTTAAATGGAAATAGCCCGGAGGTTCAGGATAATATACAATTGACGGTGCTCCCAAAGTATGCGAACCAAGATGGCGGACATCGGAACGTAACATGGGTAACAGGTTAGGGTTAGGCGATAATTTTTTTCCAATTTTCCTTATTTTAGTCCTATTATAAGTTCGAAGACTCCCGTTCAAGGGCCTCCCGTAGTATTTATACCTAAAATTATGGCCTAACCCCAACCTAGTACACATATTACATTCCGATGTCCGCCATCTTGGTTCGCATACTTCGGGAGCCCCCAATTGACTACAAATCCGCAGTGAAAAAGAGATTGACTTCGGCTTCAGATTAAAAATAAAATTGAAAATAGCCTTTAGTCTTAACTTACTTTTTTTGTTTGTTTGAGTTTTTATCGAACATTTTGGTTTGATTATCACATTTAATTAAAAGTTGAATTTAAAGGGAATTCAAAATTTTGACTGAAATTCCATAGGATTTGAAAATACCACTCCAACTCCTAAAAAGCATGCCAAACCATAACGCCAACACCACAAACATGAAAATAGCAATGCTTTAGTTTAGAGGACCGCGGGCTAAATGCGACCCACAAGGAAAAATTGTGCGGCCTGCTGAGGAGTGCCAATTTTGAATGGTGTGTGGCCCGCGAAGCTATAGTTTTGAATTTAGGATAATTTAGTACGTGCGAATATTCCAATTCGTTTGCGTTGCAAAGCCTATACCTGCGCTTCTGCATTTCATAAGATCATATGGGCACCCTATATTATATCATACAAGATCTAAACCATCTAGCGTATTTACTTTCATAATTAACTACTAGAAATTTGAGGCGATTGCTCTGTACGAGAAAAGTTACTTCAACAGTAAATACAAAAAGAAACAATTTAGCAAGAATTGTGGTCTCATTTATGGCGTTATAACATGGGTGGTGGGCGGGGTTGCCATGGCCAGAATTCTTGCTCATCTAGACTGGCGGGCCATATAAGTGTGACGTAAAAAGTTACATTTTATGAACAATATTTACAGTGTTACAAAAGCAAAGGTGGAATAAGCCTCGTGCCAAAACTAAATTTAATCGCAATCTGGAAAATCTGGAGCAGATTCAACCTCGCTCTCGTGAGATATCGCGTGCATCTAACAGGCAAACAGACAAATGCCTATCAACATACTAACCGATTAAAATCGATAAGTAATAACTTCCTTCCTAATTACCTACAGTAAAAGAAAATGGATGCTATTGCTTTATACTAGAAAAGTGTTCCCACCAGGGAAAATAATACGAATAACAATTTAACAAGCATTTTTTCCGACAGGAAATACAATAAGAATAACAAATAAAAAAGATTGTTGTCTTAGATATCACATTATAATTTGAAATTCGTAAAAATTAAAGATAGAAAAACGAGTTACACCACTGGTTGTTTTTAATATTGGTTTACGTCATCGGGTAATCGTTTTATTAATCATAGCAAGTGTCGCGAAAATATAATTTTATTTTATATTTGGAAAAAATATTCATCACAGATATTATTCAATTACCCAATTTCCTCATAATTGATCTATGTAGGTAAGTTCATGCGTTGTGAATTATGCAATAATTATTGCAAAATTGGGAAATAACGATGACTATGCAAAATTATGCCCCATTTATTACATGCAGTGTGAGGCGATGGACAAGCGATGCCAACACGGTTGAATCTAAAGCAGTAGTTCCCAACTTTTCCATCTGTGGTTGTTCATGACAAGATGTTGGAACTCCAATAACATCCTATTACAATCATTATTTAATTCCCACGGTTCCATTACATTTGAACCCACGTACATGTAAACCCACGACAATTGCACCTGCATACTATTGCACCTATGAATGTTTTTTTTTTGTTTTACGGATATTTGAACCCATACTAACCCGGTCACCGATTCCCAGATACTGTTTGTAACGGGCTATCTTGGATTCTATACTTCACTTTTCGCCTTTTAAATTATCGTATCAACTCTTTTTTGAGATCTACTGTGAAACTGATTGCCGTATCAGGTATCTATTGTGTTATTTTTGTTTTTACTCGTCGATTTTAATCGGTAAGTATGTTGATAGGAATTGGTCTGTATGTCTGTTTGTCTGTTAGATACACGCGATATCTCACGAAAGCGAGATTGAATCTGCTCCAGATTTTGCATGTGCATTTATCTTATCTCGGAACAGAAGCCTATTGATTTTGGGCAAATTATGTCGTATAATTAGCGAGTTATTAATTAATCAGTGATGGGGCACAAGGTCTCACTATGGAGTAAGAGCGCTGTTGTAGGATCCCCTAACTTTCGATCGATAAGTCTTCTGTCTCTGACCGATATTCTCCTTTCTTATGTTTATTTGTTTGTGTTATTTTGATATGGACCGCAGCGGTCTGGAGTAATAAACGAATTGACTGATTGATTAATGGCTTGTGACCCCCTTCCGGACATTTTTACCACTAATGGCCCCCGTGTTAATCATTCCAGTGATATTTAGAGTGTTATTCAAATTAGTAAAATCCAATTTTATCATTTTCAAACAATTCATGCGTAACAAAGGAAAAACACCTCGTCAAATAACCTTATCAAGCAATATAACTAGGAAGAATGGAAAGTTTTTTTGTAAAGGGGAAAGAAAAATCAGATTTGCGCCTAGCATGGTGTCCATGGTTACAATCAATATTGACCGATAATTAGCTTACTATTCCAGGCTGTATTATCTTTTCATTCACGTAATGAAAATTGTTTCAGGCATCTTTTTTTCTCTGGGTCTTCATCATAATATTAACAATTGAGTTGCATTTCTCTTTTGTGATGGCAAATTGTGGTAACTCGTTATTTCCCGACAATTTCGAGATACGCCATTGCAAGTTTATGCATAAATGCTGTAGAACAGATGGTACTCCCGTAGTATGTGCAACAAGATGGCGGACACCGAAACGTAGTATGTGTACCAGGTTAGGTTAGGCCATAATTTCAGGTACAAATACTACGGGAGGCACTTGGCTAGTCCCCGAACTCGTAATAGAACTAAAATAAGGAAAATTACAATAAAATTATGGCCTAACCCTAACCTGGTACACATACTATGTTCAGGTGTCCGCCATCTTGTTGCACATTCTACGGGAGCGCTGAACAGATATGTGGCCGCAGGCCGTGTGTGGCGCATAACCCAATTTATCCTACTGTAAACATAGTCAAGTAGAACGTAGTGCAGCGGTGGGCAACCCATGGCTCGCGTGACAAACAGCCCATTTATTCGGCACCCAAGCGAAGTTTCAGATACGAGATCATTCCAAATAAAAAAGTTTTAAGACTTTGAATTATCTGATGAAACTCGATGTTTGTTTATTTATTATCGTTTGTTAACAATACGTTATTTATTTAAACTTTTTTTGTCTTTTCGTGACATATGGCTACAAAGAAATATATTATGGCGTACGAATGAGTCAGCTCTCGAGAAATTATGTCGAGAGAGCGCAGAATTCATTTGGCTACATTCTTACGTGATTCCCAAACTGTGGGTCGCGACCCCGAGTGGGGTTGCGTGAAGATTTTCCGGGGTCGCCTGATCTCTGTCAAACATGCGTCCACAAGTGACTAGAATTTGAAAGTTGGAATAGGGATTTTGTGCTGGTCGGTAGGCACCGGAAAAGGACCTAACTTTGGACAAAATGTCTTTATTTTCAGCAATAACTCGACCATTTATTGTCCAAACGGTCCCAAAATTGCTCGGTAAAACATTCATGCGGTATTTCACCTCTCCAGCTGGTAGGCAGGTACCGGTATTAGTAAATGCATTTAAGTAAGAGTGTTATGAGCGCCGACACTATTTTCTTTTTTGTAGCCTTTTTGATCATGTTACATCCGAATGAGTAATTGACCTTAATCCTTTCATTTTCATTCATGCGTAACTGCAGGCTAAACCAGTGTCTGGCCCGCTAGTACACGAATCGGATTTTCAGCCAGGTTGGGTGAAATATGTTGGTTTGTTATTTTTACCAGTGTAGCCGCTTGGTTATTGAATATACAAAACAAATTCGCTTCATTTGGCAATTGGCCCTTACTCAGGTGTTTGACAAGTGTGTCATTGATTGTCCGGCGGTGTCGTGGCCGAGAAATCATACTTTGGGTTTCGATCAGTTGCGAAAGCGCCTTTAATTTCTCTGTACCTGTTTTAAAGGTTCAATATTGTGTATTTCAATTTTGGCGGCACGAGGGAAAAATTTTGTCGTTAAATTGAGCCGATTTTGGCACGCGAGCCAAAAAAGTTGGCCAACCCCTGACGTAGTGCAATAACCCAACTTAGACCAAAGTCGTAGTATTTCGAAAATTATATGTCTGCCAATTGCAATCATAACAAATTCCTTGAGCTATTTTCCAGCTAAAAATCTAAATTTGGTTTTAATATGATTTTCAGGGAATTGATGATAGAATATTCTGTTTTGCCCTCCGTGTCCATATATTTGAGCATTGCTCTCCTAATGGTGTACCTTGGATTGAATACTTGTGATAAAACGCAAAACTTCGTTTTTAATTTGAATTAATGTAGAAACAAAATTGGTCAAATCCATGAAAGCCAAATTCAACTATAAATAAAAATTTGCATGTATTCGGAGATAATGTTATATATAAAAGAGGAGATCAAATATAAGCAACAAAATGGAATTGAGGAATTACAGAAAAAATATATAATACATAAATGGAATCACAACTCAATAGCTTTTTAAATAAGGCCGCATATGACCAGAGAAAAATTAGCTGAATAAATAATAAAAACGAATTTAATGAATAAATAAGCTCTTTCTGTCCCAAAACAATGGACTGATTTTTAAGCCGGATCCACGGGATTATGCTGCGTCCAGAACCACTTAAAGCAGTTAAGAATTATAATCTGTTTTATGAGCACCGGTGTATACCGTCCAACACTGATCTGGCTTTGTTCAGAGCAAAAGGCAGGAGTAAGCGTCGTATTACGTTATTATACAAAAAAATTTGGGCTGACGACTTTCTGGGTTGGAAAAAAGATAATGTTTGAGTGGGCTTCTAACTCATCTCTGGTTAGAACTGGGTTCATCTGGGATTTTTGACTCGAAATAGACATCTGGATCGTTTCACTGATTAGTTGTTGGACAGGAAGTAGACCCATGGATCATTTTGTTGTTGTTGATCGTCATTTTAGTATTTCTTTCCTTCTTCTTGTTGTTGTTAAAAAATTTCCTTTTCTCATTAACTAATGGACCAATTGGTTTGAAATTTCCAGCGGTTGAAGATTGAATTTTTTACTAGAAGGAGATTTATTTATTTCGAAAATGTATGTGACCTCTATGTGCGATTCGCTTTTTGTGTGCGATGACGCCCTAAAAATTAAAAATAGCACTCTTTGTGGCACCTCCACTTTTGCGTAAGTTCAAATCTGCTGCTCAGCTGTGCCAGATTGCATACCCGTACCACTTCGTGTCAATATATATGAGCATCGCTCTCTTGTTGTTAGATTTGTTCATTTGATTATTATCTTCACCTCCAAGTGAAACCTAGAAGTCCCACAATTAGCTAATCTTGAAATATAGCGTCACCGCTACGACAAGGATTCCCGGTCACGTGTGTGTTTCCGCTTGATAGATTTTGCTGAGCGAGTGCCATTAACAATAGTCTAGTCGTGTAGCCTATGTAAGTGTTTTCTCTTTCTCTATCATTGAATGCCAAATTCGTTTTTAAGTCGCTCAAATTTTTTTCGACCATGATTATAAACTTCATATTCATCCAGAAAATAACTATTTTTTAATTTTGCAATTGATTCTTCGGTCAAAGTTTCTCTTCGTTTTGTCGTTGTCATGGACTTCCACATTTTCATTTGTTTATTCCATAACCTTGTAACTCCTTTAAAAAAACTTGGAAGCATTTTTTCCAGTAATTTTATAGTATTTTCAAATTCTTCTGTTAATCCAATCACAAAATAATTCTCATCGATATGTTTCTTTGCTAATTCGACTCTGTCGCGGGATCTGATCGAACAAACTTTATCAAACCCGCAAAAATATGAACCAATGTAGAACATGAAAATTGTGTCGTTGCACAACGAAATGTTTTTCATTACACATTCATTTATATTTGGTAAATCATTCCTGGGTTTTTTGACCCCTCCAGCAGCATCTCCGTATTTAATATAATTATACTGAGATGAAAATCGCTGTATTGGATCTCGTATCATATTTATATAGATAGGTTCCTCAAGCCCAAATGCTTTGAAATCAAGAAAATGTATGTGTCGATCATATATAGTCGGTTTTTTATTAAATCTGGAAATTTTTCTCATTTCTTTTTCGACTTCGGTCAAATTTGGATGGTCGTTAGTAACGTCCTTTGAGTTGAATACCTCAAATCCTTTCATGTTTCCTAAAACACGAACTAGGTGAAGTAGAGACCTGCTTCCACACTTTCCTACTCGATTGTAAAAAACAGTTTTAGATTTCAAAAGTTCTCGATATGGTTTTTCTTTTTTCGGAATCCCTTTGATAATCTTCTCAATCCTAACAGGTTTTGACCTCGCGGTAGCGGTGGTCCTTATAGTAGGTGCAGTACTAGTAACTTGTTTGGTGGTATTTCCAGACGTGGGATACAGCAGAATTTCTTTTCCAATAGGTACATTTTCAAATTTTGATTTTACGTGTCCAATATCTTGAATGTTTCTAGAGATAACTGATTTCTGAGCTTCCCAGTAAGTCCATACAAACAGTATTGCAACGAATGAAGACACTATCAATGTTAATATATAACTGAAAAGCAATTTCATATTTCTAAATCAATAAAACAGGTTTTAATTAAACAAGAAAGCAAAGCTTAAATATATTGAGATATATGTGGGCGCCCATGATTTCCCCACACACCCCTATAGGGGGTGAACAACCCTCCTCAAGTTTTTGAACCCCCTCTTTAATTTTTAGATGTGACCCCACACTTCAATTCCTGACGTAAATAAAATTGTGTTTGAATATCCAGAACGTGGTTTATATGCCAGTGCAGATGATCAGTCAAATACATAACATATTTTTATAAGTTACAAATAGTTTTATCAGTAATAACGAAATATTTATCACCCCCAAATTTGGAAACACCCTCCTTAGAATGAAAAACTTGGGAATCCCAGGTTCGAATCCCATGCCCACCACCCCACACAGAGTGTAATAAATTGGGTAGGCAATGCTGAACCTGCATGATTTCGGTCCAAAAACTTCTTACACATCGCTATATTTATCAATGTCAACTTCCACAGGCCTTGTTCGAAGCTAAAGACACGTCACCTTCACTTCTAAGTGAGTGCGCACGACTATTGTCATAGTTGAGCCTCCTTCACTTTTGAGCAAGTGCCCGTAATTACTTTCTTCTTTGATTGAGTGACCGTAACTTTGTTTTAAGATGTAACTTTGCTCAGAGATGAGTCTCCTTTATTTCTGAGTGAGTGCCCGTAACTTTGCTCAGAGATGAGTCTCTGTACTCCTGAGTGAGTGCTCGTAACTTTGCTCAAAAATGAGTCTCCTTTACATCTGAGTGGGTGCCCATAACTTTGTTCAGAGATGAGTTACTTTACTCCTGAGTTATTGCCCGTAACTTTGCTCAGAGATGAGTCTCTGTACTCCAGAGTGAGTGCTCGTCACTTTGCTCAGAGATGAGTCTACTTTACATCTGAGTTAGTGCCCTCAACTTTACTCTGAGATCAATCTCTATCACTCTTGGGTGAGTGTCTGTAACTTTGCTGCTCAAAGATGAGTTTACTTTAATTCTGAATGGGTGGCCGTAACTTTGCTCAGAGATGAGTCTCTATCATTTTTGAGTGAGTGTCTGTAACTTTGCTGCTCAAAGATGAGTCTACTTTACTTCTGAGTCAGTACGCAAAACCTTGCTGAGAGATATGTCTCGATCAGAACAGTTTTTACGACCGCCTTAGTCATCGCCCTATTAACCACTTCATGTCGTTTTTTTCACAGGCCGAACTCTTGTAGACTCACTCATTATATCGTGATTAAAACAAAATTTTATGATATATTCAACTGTTTTTACAATTTAGTTCACGTCATTGTTCTGCCAACTTAACATCAGGAGAAAGGCTTTACGAGTGTGAACGATGCAATTAATCCTTTTAGTGCGGAAGTGTAGACACGACATATTCATTCGTGGTCTTTAACCAGTAAAGAAACACCTTGACAGGCTGTTTTTTAGAGAAAACGGGGAAAACTCTTAAATCTTTTGGCGCTCCAGAAATGTGTGTACCAATATGGAGGTAACCAATTTTGTTCGCCTATCTTACATCAAGTTTCACAATCGAATAATTTTTTTTAATCGAATCTCGAATACTCGGAGATCTGTGATTATATGTGACTTTTTCGCTTTAGTGGGTCCTCGAGAGAATTAAATTACTAAAACATTAATTCCATCACCCAGTTAGTTCGCTGAGTGTTCAGACACAACGAGCAACATGTTTCAGCAATAACTAGCCATAGGCAGAAAACGAGGTATATGTCCGAATTGCATTGCAAAAATAAGGCTTAAATAAAAAAACTGTAGAAATTAGCTCGACCTTTTGGAGACAGACGAATGGCGACATGGCCGCGACGCGAAACTTTTGTATTAACTGATTCGAGTAACTTACTATTCGATTCGAATATTCTATTCGAAATGCCCAGCTCTATTTCTACCTCAAGGTATTACTATAGCGTGTAGTACTCAAGGCGCTGGGTAGTGCTATTTTTCCATCTCTAATATATATGACTTATTTCTATACATTTAATTAAGCGATTTATTGCGCATATCTGACTCCAACGCATTAGATCTGGGTGTTGACCGTACATTTGAACATATGTGTATATCCACGGGTTCTATATGCGGGTGCTAAAACCCATGAGTTAGGGTTAGTATGGGTTCTAACTATCCGTAAAACAAAAAAATTTCCATAGGTGCAATAGCATACAGGTGCAATTTTCATGGGTTCAAATGTACGTGGGTTCAAATGTAACGGAACCGATCTGGGCATCGTACATACGCCAATAGGCCATACGCTACAGTAACACCAAACTACATTTCTTACTCTACTAAATACCTAAACTAAAATTCCACAAAATCACTGACAGCACCTAGGTCGCAGCGTTCTGTTACAGATAACATCGCAAATGTGAAATACTCGGTCCTGTCTACCTGTTGTCAAGCCTCAGTAACTTTTACGGCTGATAGGTTTCATGCGTAGTATTTGCCTGAGGATATAAAAAGTTTCTTTAATTAGAATGTCAATAAGATCGCGGCGTACATGCAGGCGAGTTATTGCGACGAGGAATTTAATCAAATACATTAAAGCAGCGGTTCGAAATCGCTGCGGTGTGGCTCGTCGTGCTAAGCGTTGGGAATGCGCTCGCCACCGCACCTCTGATTACTCTGAGTGGGTTCGCAATATTTATCTCGGGGAGAGGAAAGTCGATAAGACGGCTTAACCATATGGCGAACACGGCCTCTCGTCCGGTTACCATTCCATGTCGGGTATGGGAATAGTTAATTATTCGTTTTCGGAAGCATGAACTTAATGGTGGAGCAAGCCGTAACCGACCAGCTCTTACGTGAACCACCCTACCTGACATCTTGTGTGAAATACTATTTTCATACATTTAATCAAGCGATCCATTGCTTGTATCTGTCCCTAACGCAGTGTTATTCTATCAGGTATACTTTGTACCCAAGTGTATACCAAGTCAGACCACGGTTATACAAAAAAGGAATGGTATACTGAGGTTTACAACTATGGCCTGGGTCGAATATACCATACTAAATACACGACAGCCAGTTTTGTGTTATGAAACAGATGCAGAGGTGGAAAAGGTATAACACGTAGTAAAAGATTGAAGAGCACTTCCCTAACGCATTAAAGCTCAGAGCTTATCTGGTCATCCTACATATCGCAATAGACTGACAGGACCTCACGCTATGGTAACACCAAACTAAATGTTTTACTCTACTAAAGACCTAAACTGAAATTCCATAAAATTCACTGACAGCACTTAGGTCTTAGCTTCCTGTTACAGATAACATCGCAAATGTGGAATACTCGGTCCTGTTGTCAAGCCTCAGTAACTGTTACGGCTGTTCATGCGTAGTATTTGCCTGAGGATATAAGGAGTTTATTTGTCGCACCGGTTTGATAAGAATGTAGACGTGTTCGCGGAGATGAATTAGGCTTAGTATTTGCTGTAGTACAACTACTAATATTTATCATTATTATTACTATAATGCTTAATTATGCGCTCATAAACTACTTGAACTGTTCATACGCGTGAGTGCAACTCGCGCATGACACTATCTAAGTATCCATATTAAATATGTAAAGTACTTTTGGTATTCCTGAAGTATGCGCACCAAGATGTCGCACAACCTGAACCCTAACCTGGTACACAACCTGAGTTCAGGTTGTGCGCCATCTTGGTGCCCATACTTCAGGAGGTCCGTACTTTTTATGCATATTGATGAAGGGATAGAGATATGGGATGAGTTCCGACCCTCCACTCTTTCCTCTTTTTAAATGTAAAGAAAAATATTTTTTATCACACATATCAATTTTTCGTATCTTAAGACGCTTTTAGACCCTCAAGAGTCAAGACTATTGAAACTCACATTTTCGGCCTCGGACCGGCCCCGCTAGCTGTCTTGCTCCACGTGACGCCTAATGTACCTGAAGAAACATTTCAATCGATCAATAGTACTAAACATTTTGCTATAGGAATAAGTGTGATGCGACACTATTATTTGACAGAGAAAGTGAAATAACTATCTCGTCGGATGATTTCACTTTTGATAAAATTACCTTTTTTTACGACCATTTATTGCATTGACATCCGGAATAGCAAAAACCTGAGCTCAGAATAAATGACCAATTGTGATCTGTCTAATTGAGTTTCATATGAAAATGTCTATCTGACTAAGTTTCGTGCAGACACAGGCAACCACGTCGGTATCCCGTATACATTTTCGCATAGTAATACATCTTGAACCATTTCATATCAATGTGTATTTACTTAGCGTGTGCGTGACACGCTCGAGTAAATTCTGGTGACGTCACGTCGCTTATAACGTTTTTATACGATTTCTTTACTCATTTGCAATATTTTCATGTTGTTCACTCCAATTTTCGAATTATCTGAGTACGAGATTTGGCGCCCCAGAAATATGTGTATCAATATGGAGATATCTAATTTTGTTCACCTACATAAAGTTGTGTTAAGGGACATGATCAGGTGGTATATTCACTTGGCTAACACAGACAGTCCCCGAAGTCGTAATAGAACTGAAATAAGAAAAATAGGAATAAAACACAAACTACGAGAGTACCCAAAGTTTTTACTTAAATACTGATAAAACAAAACAAATTTTTGAATTGTATATATTTTGCGTTTTCTGCTTCTTAATTCTTAAATACAAATGGGCATATATACGCTTCTCACTATGGCTTTGGGCATACTACGTACTTCTCAGGAGAGTGTTAACCGCTACACAAATACTTCATGTTATGGCGATAGCTTTTAGGCACATTCATATTATGCTTGATTTAAGTTCCGGCAATGAGGGAACAGTGTTGGATTAAAAATGTTAAAAACAGATTCTTTTTTATGTCTGACTCGGGCGTCCGCAACCTGCGGCCCACAAGAAAAAATCGTTCGGCCCGTGTAGAAGCCATGCATTCCATTATATCAATTCTAGAAATGTCCTTTTGATGTTTTTTTTTTTTTTTTTTTCAGTTACACTTTACAGCATAGCGTT